GCCTTTAAGGCACGATGGTACGAGTGTTAACCCGCGAACAAAAACCATCTACTTTATCCTCGACTATCATCTATCGTAACATCTCAATGGTACATTCTGTCATCGACCAAATCTTAATTGACGAACAAACAAGACATCTCCGACGATCCTGTTCGAATTGTCACCGCATGCTTCACGCGCGGCTGACCGAAGATCGCGCGAAGTCGCCGGGAAAACGGCGCTGGAAATTTCGCGAGAAAAATAGTTGGCCACCACTGGGCTCGGCGGATGTGTTGGTTCGCAGAGATGCGACCGTGTGCGACTCAGGGGAACAGACAGAAGACCGTCTGTAAGTGGTAAGATTCCAGGTTTGGCCTGGAAGGTATTACCGGCGCGGAGCCCGTAGGTAGGCTATGCCCCTGGATTCGCGTTTTCCCATCGACCAGGCCGGAAGTTGGCTGGTACCGCACGCATCATCGATCGCTGGCAGATCGATCGGGTTCGGTTGGCTGCCGTGGTAACGGGGCCCCTCGATCGCGTCGCAGAATCCCGTTAGCGTTGGCGTTGGTGTTGGCGTTGGCGTTGGCTCGGCCAAAGGGAGTTAGCTTCTAATTTGCGACTGCGATGCTATTCGAATCGACGACCAGGGGGGATCGTCGGCCCTCGGCGTGCTCTCTCGACACCCTCTCGGTTTCTCTGCTCTCGGCCCCAGCCGGGTCGTCCGCGCGAGTCGCGCGCGCGTTCCGGCGCCGAGGGTCGCGAGAGGAACGGTGGAAAAGGGCAAAAATAAAAGGGAACGAGGAGAAATCGCGTACAAAGGACGAGGGTAGAGAGGAGTGGCCGGCCGAGTGGGGGTTAATCCGCGGCGAGGCGAGGCGAGGAGAAGCGAGGCGCGGCGCGACGACGGTTTGCCCGATGCGATAGAATTCGAGACGCTTTAAGCCGAGGATATGCCGCTATCCCGAGGCCGATGGCACACTCCGAGCAGCAGGTCCCCTTTAACTGCTCGACAGATACACTGTCGCGGCGAAGGTTCCCCTTTAACGGAACGAAAACCCCTCTGGCTGCGAGAATTTATAGGGGGTGGGTCGCGCGGGCTTTAGAACATAAACCCTCTTCCTCCCGGTTTTCTCTCCCTCCGTGCTCGTCTTTCCGTCTCTCCTTTTTGCCCGACTCCTTGTCTCTGCCCATCTGTATTTTTATTTCTCTCCTCCGCCACCCTCCCGTGTCTCTTTATTTTTCGATTCAGGCTTTTTCCACCCCCTCGATCTTTCTCCGTCTGTTTTTCCCCTCGTCCCTCGCGTCGGTCCTCTTTTTTTTCTGCTTCCAGTTTTCCCCGCCCTTCCTTCTTCGGCCATTGTCTACTCCCTTTCGTGCTTTTTTTTCCCTCGGCCACCGGATCGCGGTGTTCTTGTTGTTTTCTGTCCCCGTCTCTCTCCTTTTTACTTCTCTCGTTTCGCTTCGCTTCGTTTCGTTTCGTTTCGTTCTCGGTTCCGTTGCGCGACCTCGCCGGTCTCTCTTTCGCTCCTCTGACACGTTCCCTTTAAGTCACGTATATATCCCGGCCGTTTCCCACCGTTCCTCCCCCTCTGGTACTCGTTCCTCACTCCGACCCGGGGCTGTTCTCTCCCTCGTGGCGGTTCGCAACTTCGATCTAACTGGGCAGAGTTAACACGGCAACGGACGGACGGGCGACGTTCGCGTCGAGCAGCCAGGGCCGAAATCAATTCGCCCGGCGAAATTAACGCGCTCGAGGGCTGCGCGCACGCTGCGCCGAGGGCTCTCTCGGTTCCCAGCACCGTCGAGATATCCAGCTCGCCCGATCGACGCGCCGAATTTAGGGACCGAGGGCCCCCGGCGATCGTCGAGAGGGGCCACGAACACCGGGGACCGGCTTCGAGATCCTCCTCGAACGTTCCGCAAGGACACTCGAAGCCGCCAGCACTCGAGAGACGAGGGTTACGAAGTCCCGGACCCACTACTCACGGCCCTGCAACCGTCTTTCCCACAGAAAATCGACTCAGCGGTTCTCACCGCCTCTCGCGACTCCAGAAAGTCGCTGCTTGCAAATGGCTGCGCCGGTGATCGAAGCTGCCGGTGATACCGGCTGCAATTGGATCGACGGTACCAAGCGCGTTTAGAAGCCACAAGTTGTCCCGAATGGTCCGATCATCTTTCGGGACTCGGTGCTTTTGGCTGGGAAATTGCCGAGGTTTAAGCGATTCATCATTAATGTCTCCGATCGTTCGTACGATCGCCGAGGAGCTGAAGCACCGATGTCACGGGCGCCGGGACAAAAGAATTGATTGAAATCTCGAGTGTATGGCCTCAGACCCTGCTCAGGATCGGTCTCAACCTTCCTCGAACTATGGAGAGTGTGTGTAAGAAACACTCGAATTCTCTCGATTCGGAAAACTAGTCGATTATTGCCACAGCTCTGCGTCTTCGAACGTAAATTACTAATTGTCCTCGACCAAGATATCGGTCTCAGTGACACGATTAGAAAATTATCGTTCGAGAGAACATGTCTCAGCTATTTTTTAATACATCACACTGACGATTCTGAATGCTATCAACCTTTCGCTACGTCAAACTCGGAATAAGGATGTCGGACAAAATTATTAAAAACCGTCCGAGGACATCGTGTTCACTTTATCGAACATGCTTTTGGCAAAGATTGACCAGTTAGAAGAAACGGCGCCGTGAAGACGTGCAACTTCTCGCGGTTCTTGTTTGTACTCGATTGTTCTTCGCCGTTGTTCCTTGGTCCACTTGCGTCGCGCCTCATTTAATTTACGACTTCGTTACACCTCGTCGTCTCGAGCTGCGAGCGTAATCGATCCCGGCGTCAAGGAACAATGGTGACTAAAAGATTTACGCCTTTTTTTTCTCCCACTCGCCGACGAAACGGGCATTTGCAATTCTATCGGGTGAACGGGCGCGCGCGAGCACATACATACATACAGGCGTACACACCCGGACACCAGGATCGATGCACGGGATGATCCGCTTGCATCGCGCGAGAGCACACGCTTCCGCTTCGCCTTTAATTCGGACACGCCGTGTTCTCCGGAAACGCGCGATTAACGAGAGAGACGTTGTCTTCGTTCCTCTTTGATTCAGAGCTCTCGTCTGGATCTTCGCTTTCTGCTCGCGGGGAACTACGATTATCGCGGAGGTCATCGGTGGACCCGACGCTCTATGCATACGATGGTGCAGTAGGGGGGTAGGGGGGTGGTCGATGTTCAAGGTAGAAATTTTCCCGATAATTTTGTAGCAGCGAGTTTGAATTTTGAACGAACTCTTCGAGTTGATTAAAGGGTGCAACGAAAAGAGTGGGAGTCAGCGTAGCAGAAATTGACAGGCGACGCGACCTTTTTTTCAAATTGATCATACTTCGGCACTGATATTCTCTGCGAAGATTCAACGAACGACCAAACGACAAGGTTTCTTTCCGACTACCATCGTGCCAACCGCGGTTTCTCCGCGAAAACGACCCTCGTTTCGCTTTCACACAGTGAATCTTATCGCGCGAAAGCTACGCACAGGTAATTTTGAAACACTGACGAGATTCCGCAGGACACCCTGTATAATCGAAATTCTCGAAAATCGCCGGTTGGGGTTGGCCCGATCGCGAAAGGATCGACGATCTCTACGGAAGCGACAGTAACAATTGTAGAAGATAAGTTCATGTACATGTGTATACCACGATACGATGTACAAAAAGCAATATTCACACACGTATATGTATATGTAATTGTTATACAGGGTGTGCACGAAATCGTGACACAGACAAAATCCGGGTGGATCTGCGTGCGCGAGAATCGGGGTCGAGTATAAAGTAAGCGTTAAAAGAAGGCAAAAATGTTTCTGGTGGCTTCGCAATTTTGCGCGCCTCGACTGCGATAAGTAGAAACCGTGTGCAATGGTCAGACGTGCAGAAAACAGTTCATTATTTTTACGCAATCAGTCTCGACCTTCCATTTGTTATGCCACCGTTTTCGATTGTACTCCGCGCGTGGCGAATCCGTGGCAAGCGTTCGCGATTAGTTTTTATTTCACCGAAGGTTTTCGAAAAAGAAAAAGCGCACTGAAACTGTTTCTTTCTTTTTTTCGTTTTTGCGCCACCAGAAGCGATTTCGGAAACGCGAGATTTTTGCACATTCCGGCGAAGCCAGGAAAATAATCGAATGCACGCGGATTCAACTTGGCATATTGTATACGTACACGTATACACCACACACACACACACACGTGCAAAGTACACAGGAACATTATTGTACACACGAGATACGTAAGAAGTACACATATTACCTACTTTCGACTAAATCGCAATTTAACCGTAACTTCGCCCACTCGATTGTAAATTTCGGTAGTACGTGCTTTGTAAGATTGTAAGTGCTGTGCATATGTATATAACAGGGTGACGGAAGAGCGTCGAGGACGATGAACGTCTAGAGAACAAAATTATTTGTCCGATGAAATAATGTGTCTTATATATTATGGCAGAATAGCGGGGAAACGACAAGTGTTCCCGATGAAGAACTCGATGGAGATCGGTCGCGAATCATAGGTGTGTTCCTCTTATTAGATGGAGTAAAAGTGTAATAGTTTCGTAATTACCTGACACGGATAAAAAAAATACAAAAAAGAATATAGATTACAGAGTCACGAGGTCTGCTTTGTCTTGTTATAATCAAATACTTTATATTATGTAGTACAGGTTGTCATTAAACGTGTGAACAAACCTATATCATTAAATCTTTTTAATTACTAAAACTGTGGCGTCGAGTAATTGTACTTCGTTCTGTGTCTTCTTTTGTTCGACCGACTAATTTTTCAGCAGCAGGTGAGTAACAATTTTTAATAAAAAACGTGGGACGATTTTTATCTGCAATATTTTATATATATATGTATATATATATTAGCATAAAATTATTATTATCATTTACAGTGGTTTACAATGTGTAGAATATTTATAATACACACCGTCCGCAAGCAATATATTTCTTTCTCGATACTTATTCGTTAAAGTGTATTTGTTGCATATATATATACATGGGATACAATACCAACAGAACTTTAGTTAAAATTTTCGTCGTGTGTTGACAACTTTGGAATGCACCGACGGAATGTACCGTTGAAGATTGGTATCCATCGAAACGAACAAAATCCAATGTATATTAAACATCATTTGCAATTCTTAGATAACATTTTCAACAAAACCGATTCAATAAGTTACACCTTTCTCTGACTAGATATGACGAATATGTTTTTTGTTACTGAAGTACAGTCTTCATATATTTTCCGTACCAAGTAAAAAGTAATAGTAAAACTTTAAAAAAAAAAAAAATCTAGGTAAAAAACGTATGGGAAATCTCAAGATTTGTATTCGAAGAGTCTTGCCACAAAACGTATAGTACAATGTAAGAAATAATAACACGTAAAACATAAACTGTGCACCAAGAAATAACGTAACAGTAAGTAAAAGTTTGTTTTAGCTAGCCACTTCTAACTTAAAAAAATATATCTTCATCCAAGTTACCATGAAATAGATCTTTCTGAGGTAAATATTCGATATTTATCTTTTAACGAATAAAAATCTAGCCTTTCTTTATAATGTTCAATTTGCGATGTTAAAATCGGAGGTACTCGTGCATCGTAAATTTTCTTAGATAATAATACGCCTATCTTCACATCTTTAATACATGCACATGTTACTCCAATATCTTTACATAATAAGTACAACTGTTTCATCGTAAGTACAACCGTATACCTTTAATTAGTTATTTGCCTTTGTTGGTTTTGCATTGTTAGCCTAGCTATCTCTTGACTCAGCGTATCAATATTATCCTGAAAGCGAAACATTAATTAACGCTATATTTTGGACATCAATTTTGTTCGTATCTACCTTTAAAGTCATATTTGTTAGTAAAGTATCCTCTACAGTTGTTTGCAGTTTTTCATTAATTTCTAACGACAGCTTCAGAGTCATTTTCTCGTCTGAAACTCGTTGGGTGAAAATTGAGGCCATTATTCCTCCGTATCGAGCTAATTCCGCCTGTGACACAACAAAATGATACAGTTAAACCAATTGATTAATATGCAACTGCATTTGACGTTAATACACCTCATTATAATTTAATGTACTAAATTTTATTGCTGTACTTACTGCATTTCTTCTACTCTTGATATGCTTGTGTGTGTGTGAAGCAAAGTATAATGCAATTAGTGACATTGAACACGACTAAGAACACGATTGTGCTTTCACAATGTACATAATGTGCAATGGATATTTACCTTATATCTGTCTCGCTCATTGCTCCCCATGGCACCAGAATTTTCTCGTAAAATATAATACTGTATAATTTTCGACTTCTTTTGCACCTCCTCTGTCAGATATCGATTATGGTCCTCAAGGAATTCGATTCTTTCAGCCTTCTTAGCAATGGCTACTTGCAATCCTACAATTCGCTCCATTAACGTATGTGTACTAGGTTCCACGACCTGAACGTTTTGGTCACCATTCATACTGTTATCAGATAAGGCACCATTTAATGTATCTCCTGAAACAAGAAAAAAGTAAACATAAAAATATAGAAGAGGAGAAATATTTGTATATCAAACTGCTTCCATCGATTTTAAAGAACCTGTGTTCAGTGAAATATTTGATCCAGCTCTTGATGCAGCTCCCAACGAATTGCAAGGCGATGATGATTGATAAGCTTCCAGCTTTTTTCTACATTGTTGCAGCTCTCTTGTCATTTCCTTCATAGTTAGTTGCAGTTTCCTCTTCAAAACAGCATTCTCTCCTTGGCTATCTTCTAACTTCTGATTAAGACCTTGCGCCAGTTGTGTTTGTTCGGCGACATGCATGGCTAAGAGTTTACTTTCTTCTGTTCTTGTTTCCTGCTCCTTCGCGAGCTTTACCTCAAGAATCTTAACTTCTTCCATCAAATGCCTAATACGTGCGTGCAACGGTTCGTGTTCTTCCTCCAGTTTCTTCACTTTAGCTTCGATGGCCGTGAACTCCAACTGAAGGCGTACATTTTTGTCTGTCAATTTTTGCGTGAAGTCTAACATTTCAGCTTCCTTCTGTCGACAGGCATACATGTCGGCTTGTAATTCTTCATTGACTAATCGCAGGTTATCTATCTCCGCTTCAGCCGATTGTTGACACTGTTCTTTACTGTAGAAACAATAAAATGTTGTTTATAAAACGGCATTGTGGTTTTATAATCGCGATACTCACTGTTGCAATTGAACCTTCAGCGTTTCTAACTCGGACACTTTTCCATTTAGCTCTAAAACTTCTTTCTGACGTTGATCGGCTATGATCTTCAGGTTGCTCAAATTGCTTTCATAATTCAAACGGTTCTTCTCGGCATCTTGTATTTTCAAGCTGAGTGTATTGTTTTCTTCGATTAGAATCTGCTGCCTCTGCTTCAGGGTCTCGACCTCTTTCTGTAACTGAAGCCTCAACATTTCTTTATCTTCTGTAACATGTCTTTCCAATATTAGACGCGCTTGTTGCTCCTTCAATTGTTGATCTAGGGTAACCGCTTTATTTTCCTCCGACTGTTGGAATTGCCGCATCGTTTCTTGCGTCTCTTTACGTATAAGATCGCATTCCTCTTTCATTTCATTGATCCTTGTCTGAAAAGGAAATAAATCAGTGACACAAATTGTAACCAGATAAGAACATCAATTTCCCATATTATTACCGTGGCTTTATCTAACTTCTGCTGAGTTTCCTTTTGTGTGTCCATCTCCAATTTAAGTTTGTTCTGAGTCCATTTCAATTTGATGTCTCTCATGTTTACATCTTCTTTTAACTTCTCTGCTTCCTTTTGAAGTTCAGTTACCTCGCGACACTTTCCATCCAAGATGTTACATATTCTTGTTCTTTCTGCCTGCATCTCGCGCAATTTATTTTGGAGCAGTTCTTGTTGTCTTGCACTGTCTTTTGCTTTACGTTCTGCGTGTTCTCTGGCTCTAAAAATATAGTACACATGTTACATATTAGATACAAAGACAAAGATGTAATATTACCTTTGCGTATCGATCAATTGTTTTTCACCAACAGCGTACTTCATCACCATGCACTCCCTTTCTTTGTTAGCAGCGCTATATTCTTTCTTTAGGTTTTCCTGGGATTCCAACGAGCCATGTAGTTCAGAAGTAAGTCTATTTATTGTCTTCTCCAAAGTTTCAATTTGTAAAGCATAAATCTCTCCCCTGTTTTCTGCTTCCAACAACCGATTTCTTTCCTCCAAATACTCAACTTTCTCTTGTAATTTTAAACAGTTTGCTTTAGAGTCCGCATAATCTTTTAACATAGTAAGGTATGCTGGGTGTTTAAGCAAACTCTGCTTGGACGTTTCAGAATCAAAACTACTGCACTCTGAATTGAAAACTTCAGAGTTATTATGTTGTTCACAGTTTGCGTTTTTTTCTATGTGGACGATATCATGTTCTGTGTTACCTTCTTTATTATCAGAATTCATTTCTATTTGTTTTTCGATGCTTAATGAACAGTTAGGTTGATCACTATTTTCACTCCTCTTTTCAGTGTTAATGCATATGCTTTCGGTTTGATTTGTTACAAAATTATCTTTTGTTTCACAGCCAACTGCAAATTCTTTCTCTATATTTTGTACATCGATTTGACTATTTGATGAATACAATGTATCTTTTGGCTTCTCTACTATGCTTGATTTGGTATTATTTGTTGGCTCTGGCAATGGAAATTGTGTACTATAGGATTCTCCTATACTTTTTTTTTCATTGCTACTGTTATCTACAGACTTCATCACTGAATTGTACTTTAAAGATAAATGTTGTGGCAATAAAGCTTTTTCCATTATGTTTGATGACTTCTCTGTAATAAAATTTAAAAAGTTACGACTTTTATTCAAGAACTGAGCATTTGATTGCATTATATTAATAGGTTTTGTTGGCAGTGAAATTTTAACCAACTTGCTGTCATCAATCAGAGTAGGTCGAGCTATTAAATTGCCTTGTGACCTATTGTTCCTGAAGTTTTGAGAAGTCTTTTGTCCATCTTTATTAACAATTTTCTCATACTTTAAGTGTTTCAAAGGTTCTGTTCGATCAATATTTTCCATTAGCTTTTCGTGTATGATAGAATTCTGAATTGAAGCTTCCTCTGACAGTGTTTGATCAGTATTTGAGCTCGGTGTATTATTAAACAATATTTCTTCTTTATTATCTGGTGTTAGTTTTAATTCTTCATAATCATCTGATTCCACAGATTTTGCAGCGTCATTTAAAATCATATCTGCAGGTGAATATGAAAATGAATTAGACAGATCAATGCTGCTATAAGAAGATGATTTCAATAGAGAATTTTCTTGCGATTTGCCTGCGTCTCTAGGCAATACTGCACATTCCAAGAGGTTGTTTTCCAATAAATTACTTAAGGAAGTAGAACCCTTAATTGACGAATTAATACTGTTCACTTCTATCAAAGGATGATACTCTTTCTGATCATTGTTATTCAATAAAATTGAGTCTATCTCACTTTGAGAGAGTTTCTCCTGAAGTGGCTTCTTGTCCTCATTTATCATAATGACATGCTCATTCTGGGATCCATTAACTAAAAAGATCAATGAAACAGCTGATAAAATTAGATTCTACTTAAAAATACGTGTACTACCACCATGAAACCGTTTAAGCTTATTCCGAGAAAATACATGCAATTATTTGACTCGTACCTTCTAAAATTGGAATATTCGGATTCATGTTGAAATCGGTCTGATCAAGACTTTCTGACGAGACTTCATCCTTACAGAACGAATCCGACTTCTCTTCATCCATTTCACGAAATTCCAGTTCTTTCGGACCAGTTCGACTCTATTTTATGGTGTCATGTTTTCCAGTGAAAGTCATTGGTGCCAAAGTCGTCTATCGACTTGAAATAAATTCGCGATTACAATGTTAGGCGACATTCGCGAACGAATGAGAGTAAAATTAAGGTAAATAACCTAAAACTGCGAGGACTTCAGCTGTCATTATTCGTTACTATTCCTATCCTAACCATGATTACACGTAGTACTTTTTCTAAAAACATTGGCCGAACATTCAGCTGATAAGTATAATCACTGATCAGAGGAGAATAAGAGCGTGTTCACGTTTGAGTTTTCAGTGCGCTCGGTATAGTGCTGTTTATCATGATCAGCAGCGTGGAACCATATAATACTCGTCACCAATATTTCTCAAATTTGTTAACTTCTCAATAAGAATTGAGTATTTCAAACTATTGCTCTTCCAATCTTCTAATTACAGTAATCTCCCAATTTAAGTATCATATTCAGGGGCAACGAGGCTTTTAAATTGAGAGAATGCAGCGAATTGCTGTGCTCTGATTGGCAAACGATTCTCGAGATTTTTCGAAATTTCAGTGGTGCGAGTCAATCACAAATCAGGCAAAGAATTTCGAGATTTTTTTTTTATATTTTCTGATATTCGAGACAGTTTTCAAAGATTTTTTGGAAATTTTCGAAATTTCAGTAGTACAAGTCAACCGTAAGCCAGACAACGCAATTCGAAACACCTTCTCGCATGTTTTCCTGATGTAATTAGCAAGTAGTTTAAGTCAATGGAAAGTCAGGCGTCAAAACTTTTTCACTGACATGAAAGGGAAAGGAATTCGTAGGAATAGAGATAAAAGATTTAGGAATATCTATAAATGAAAAGACGTTTGGAGTGAGTTTTATAGTATTTTTATTTTTATACATTACAGCTCTTATTCTATTTTACAATCATTTTATAATAATGAAAGGAAGACAGAACGAAACCGGTATTATAACTCAATATGCATTGAGCATCGTTCGCAAATTCGCTAGCAAGTGTGGTCAAAATCCTACGAGGAGAAAAGTACAAGTCGAATATCGCGCCGTGTATTTCTGATAAAGCGCCAGGTGTACGGTGATGTGAAACAAACTAGATTGGTTGTCGGTGCGACTCGTTTCTCATGTAGTTGTACTATTGCTCACTCGCTATTTCATCTCTTTGCTATTGACTATGAGAGGGCTGCAGTGTTCAACTGTGAATCGTCAGCCAATCGGAGCACAGCAATTCGCAGCATTCCCTTAATTCGAGAACCTCGTTGCCCCCAGATATGGTTCTTGAATTGAAAGATTACTGTATTTGCAAAATAATTAAGTCTTTACCAATTGCCTCCAAATAGCGCCATTGAGCGTAGTGGCAAAACGCTCAAACTGTTCGCCAAATTAGCGATAGTCGATTTTGGCTACCGTTTGAGGCGTTTTGCCACTGCAATAATTGGCGCTGTATGGACTTTTGAATGAAGTTTCAAGATTTTGCCGCAAGAGGCGCTGACAGTTTCAAATTGTTCTGTCGGTCAATTTCAAGCGTTTGCCACTACGACTAATGGCGCTATTCTGAGGTAGTTAGAAATGGCGCCAATTTCAAAATCGAAATATTTATTAGTCATATATTTTGCAAATGTTCCAAATGGTCAATATGAATAATTAAAGAGCTAAATTATTATGTTTGATTTGAATAAGAATCACGAGGTAATAAACAATGTGAGGTTGGTTATATAGGCGTCTATATTTGTATGTATAAACATATAAGTTATAAATACACAAGGCTTACATATTTATAACTTATACACAATATATACATATATATACTTATAATATTTATAACTTTGTCCACAATAGTTGTACAACATACAGAGATTATAAAAGAAAAGAAGTTTCATTTGGTTTCGTCGGCGCATCAGGAACAAAAGATTTCTGCGTTTCCTTAGTCGATCGTAAGGAAGAAGAAACGAGGAAGAAAGGAAACGTCTATACATATGTATATGTATATTATATATGTATATATATATATATATAAATTTATAAACAAATTTTCGAGGACGATCTCGCTTTTAATACTTTTTAGCTATGCGTCGAGTTTGAAAAGAGAGAGACGTAGGCCTTTCAAACAACGTATGGCAGTTTAAAAAAGTTTTGTAAATTCGATATAAAAAAAAAATGTCTCCGAAATTTCGCCCTTAGGATACAATCAAAATCGACCAACTCGTTCAAACTAAATCTATTTAGGCGACGATTTTTCTCACGCGTGAAAAGCTTCGTTCCGCGTTTAGTGCCGTTGCTTCGTTTCGTCCTCTTATACAAAATACGTAAATAGAAAATATCGAACTTAGTTCTCGAGATTCAAAGTGTGTTTACTTTTTCGCAACCGACGATCTCTCTTTCCACGTTCGATCGGGAAATATATATCGAATCGTAAATAATCGCGCGACCTATGAAACTTAAGGTTTGAACTGGCCTCGATCCAACGGGGATTGCACATCCCAGGTGCAAATAGCATTTGTAATAAAAAAAAAAAGAAAAGCTCGACGAATTAACGTAAACGAATTCGATCGTTCTTAGAATTCGAATACAAATTACAAATTGTACTTGTTCAAACGAGACGTGAAAATTTACATTCTACGAGAATCAAACGAGAGGAAAAGAGACGAGCGAAACTTCAAGCATCGTTTTACAAAATGGAATTTCGAAGTTTTTATTTCAAATACTATTTCGCTCCCACTTCGCTCGCGCCCGTGGCTTTTTCCTCCACGGCGTCCTTAAATGCGTCTATACGTCGACACCTGGCTTTCGATAGTCTTTCACGGTTAAAAAGAAGTGTTTTGTGGAAGAAAGTGTGTAATATAAATACATTGATAATCTCACGCCCGGCACGTTCCGGTCACCGAGGTGTTTCCCATGGTTCCGGGACGCGACCGTACATTTTCCTTCTTTGCACCTATACAAATACGCATTCTACGCCTAATCTCGGCTTCCTGTTTTCGCGTTGCTAGTTTACCGCTAATATTGTTACTATTTATGATTGTATGTACAAAACAGAACGTTTACGTGCTTACGCTTGACTCTCCGCCTAACGCTTAGAAACTGTCGGGGATCCTTCCGAAACAGAGAGATACCTCTATCTCGAAGGCTCCTCGTACAATTGATAGTTAAAATAATTGCACGGGAATAGGTAAAATGGAATCATTTATTATGATCTTTTCATCGTAAAATTTCTCTTCAGAACCTTGGACTTTTTCTTCAGTATCTCAACGTTTGATTGGAAATTGTTTCAGGCCGAAGTTCACGGTATTCTTTATAAAAATAATAAAATGTTCAGCGACGATTATTATCCAAGGAAATGCATGTGAAAGAATGCTCGGAGACCGACGATCCCGCAGTTATTTCGGTGCAATTAGTTTACCATAGAATGCCCCCCAAGATGGCCACCCACAAGCACACTCCCTCAACATTGCACTTAAAAGGAAAGATAAAAACAGTTACACACTCGGACGCTTGCACGAGAAAAAAGGACACAAACAACTGGAATGATTTCTTTCTTTCTTTCGTTTTCTTTGCTGTTATTCGCGTCGTCGCTTCATCCTTGTCCGCTAAAAACAAACATTCGTTCCCGGTATCGCTCGAGACGACGTTTAAAAAAAGAAAAGAAAAGACAAGGAAAGAAAAGCAAAGCGAACGAGAAGAGGACACGCACAGAAACAACGTTAAATCCCTTAAGAGTATGTAATTTACAATGTAGAAAAAGGAAGGAGAGAGAGAAGGTAAAAGGAGACTGGCGAACGGACGAAGACACGTTTTCTTCGTCTCCCTCTCCGAGGAGATTCAGAAAACGAACGCTACGAAGGAAACTACGTATCCGACGATGGCTAAAACGAGATATACCACAGGACATCTGTCCACCAGGATTCGAGGTACTTATTATAGGGTATACAAAACGAGTTCCGTTATCTCTTCTGTGTTTCTCTTTTGAGCAAAAGACACGCGCGAGCATTCGTCGTCTTTCCTCGTCGGGGCACGATCGCCAACAGACAGCTCGCTTGAGACGTTAATAAATTAATACACGGTTTTGGAGGACATCGGAAATAATCACAGTTGAAAGCACTGACAAGCTCGACGTGCAGCACTCGGGGGTCATTATCCTTTATTTCTTTATAAAAAGAAAAATAACAAATTGTTTAGAAAAAGATACCGCCAGGACCATTACGAGTAATTTTCTGAGATTTCTACGAAATGTAGAAACATCTTGAATATAAAGTTAGAAGTTAATTGGGACAATAATATAACACAGTTCAATATTTCTTTCTCAAAGAGAACGGTCCCGTGGAAGATTTACACAGAGAGTGGAAAAATTGTTTTTAGCGAATAGTGTGAAAAATTAATGACCCGAAAGTTGCACGATCGTCCTGCGAGAGATTCTTTATGTAAGTCGGAAGTATTCGGGCCGGCAACATGGCGGCGTGGCGCAACGAAAGATCAAACTACCTCAGTCCTCGCGACACATCTTCTTCTCCCGATAATGATTCACTGTTTTAACGCTAGCCTTACGAAATACGGAGTAATGCAAAATTACGTCACTACGTTCGAAACCAAGTTCGACGACTCGAGAAACCGCACGCACGATAACCCGATACCCTTCGTTTCCGGTTCTCGGACCACGGAGCACTTCTGGTTGTCGAGGAGAAGCTACGGGCACATAATATACGTAAAAGAAAACCCTGTATTAATTCGCAGAATTTTTCTGAATTTAAGTATTTAGCATTTGAAGAGAATCAAATAAACTGATCGGCTTGAGAGATCGCTCGAGGGTTAATAAATATACGATGTTTAATAAGATAACAACGTGCTTAGAATTTCATTTGGAACGAATGCAATCATTCGTTTAAAATGACACAGGACTACGCGTGATTTTGATTTTGTCGGCGTCGTTATGTACTTATAAGGACCGTTCCTCGCAACCGGAAGTGCTCCACGCTTAGGCTTATATATATATAATATAATATATTATTATATATAATATCCTTTCTCTCGATTCCAATCGCGAAAAAGCGATTCATGGACGAATTTTGTGATCCAGAAGACGAATATTTATGAACCGCCTGACGGTTTCGAAGAATTTTAGAAATCGGTATCGGTTACGTTCTAGAGGTCGCGTTCGATGATCGTTCGATGAGAACTATATACCGCAATTTGTACGAGTGACACGGTGTATCATGAGCGATTGAAAAAATTCCGGATTCGACCGACGAACGTTCCCGCGATCCAGGGATTCATCGATCCCGGCGCGATCCAACGTCCGCTGGCGGAGCCACGGCGAATGATAAGATATAATACCGCGATTAATCGATAGGAGGTCGCACCGTAATTCGTGGATTAATTAATAATACGATTAAATTACTAGATCGTTACCGCTCTTACTCGTGTACGCCTTTTTTCTCTCTTTTTTTGTTTTAAATACGCAATGGTACATAAATATTACTATCGAATGGACTGGCGAACGGACCCACCTTTAACTAACACATTACTAACAGTAAAAAACTGTAGAAAGGCTCGTCACTAATTAAAAATCAACCTATCGAATTGAATTCGTGCGCTGTACAGTGAAAAATCATTTGTACAAAAATTTGTATGCTCTTTGTTCGTTCGTCGGTCGATTCATAACATACGATAAGACTTGCCTCGGTATAGTGACATATAATACAAATGCCCCCCTTTTTTCTTTTTAATTTGCGAAAACGACGGGCCAACAGTGTGACAGAAGCTTCGGGTCAAACTGTTTGCTCTGGTTCCCCTTAATTATCAATTCTCTCGACAGAAATAAAAGTCAGTTCCATCTACAAGCGTTGCGTTTCTCTTGGCCTTTGTATAAATATATTCTCAAGTATATGTGCCTGTTCTTGTACGCTTCGTCATCCGTGCGATTCATCTTTTCTCTAATGAGTCTCGTGCGCAACGATCGCGACCCTTGATCGATCACGATCAATTCACAGCCGCGATCTGAATTACTCGAAGAGAGAAAAAGATAGATAGGGAGTGAGAGAGTGAGAGAGAGAGAGACAAAGGAATCGCTAATCTTCTTGTGCGTATCTCAGGACGGGTTTCGCGTCGTTTTAAAATTAATCGAACTTAATTCAACTGAGAAAATTATGTACACCAGGCGCAAAACAACGATCTGTCGAAAAGCGAACGTATCACCGAAATGCAGAATTCTCTAGGCTAACTGTAGGACCTTCGAAAAATTAGGCAGACGATGATCTCGAAAGCATTCGAAACAATTAAAGAATACTATAAAAAGGACTCTATACCTTAATTCAACGGTCCTACTTCTGAGAATACCTTGTATATAAAGAAATACACCGATCCGTTACGGTAATCATTAAATATCCATGCGATATTCTTCGATTATTCTGAATAGGCGATCCTTTAATTGTTTCGAGCGACTCTGACTTGTCCCAAGCTCAGCTTGGAATGTATTACAAACGTTTTAGCAATAATATTCATCGTTTTCAATGTAATTCTCACGGTGATGTAATCTTCACGAGTGCACTCTCTTTTAGTGTCATCGTGTGCACTGATTGCGCTAAGTACACATGTTGAAATACATGTGGCAAACGTTCAACAAGTAGGGGGATGTTGGATCTTCAAGGCCTGAAGTTAGCTTGCTGCAGTTTAGATTACGTTAGGCGACATTTATTCTCCGATTGGCTGCTGCTCTTCATGGTGTTCATTGTTAATAATATTTAGGTATCAAGTTCCAAATAGTTGTTACTCAAAAAACGCCGGAGAATTTGAAGTGAAGAGACTAGTTAGGAACTTTGTCAGACATCAGTGGTAACTTCAGACACTACGATCAGTGTTTAGTGGACCAAACATTGCAGACAAGCCAACATGTAAACGCTGTGATCCATTCATAGGCCATGATCCAACACAATCCCGTGATCGCTGGCCAATATTCTTTATCAGTGTACTTAAATATATGAACACGTATTAAACGAAGCTTGCAAAAAGTAGCATAATAAAAAAGAGTAGGCTATCAAAGATATGTCTCTTGTATCAAAATGAGGGCCAGAGGCGCTACGTTTGTCGAGGCCGATCAACAGACCCCTAAACCTAAAATACATTTTACAACGTGTTCATATATTCAACGCACTGTGCACACGCGCATGCACATTATGTCCACCTTAATTCGTGACAAATTACGCTTCGATGTGACGCCACATGCACGGTTGCAGATAGTAGCTTCCGGGCAACAGAAATGGCACGATCAACAACCGATCCTTTCGAAAAAGGTCGATGTATGAAAAAAGAAACAAAAAGAAAGAATAAAGACGCCTTACTATTTCTGTTGCCAATGAGCGACCTGCACGATTGACCGATCCTCGCGAACCCACGAATCGCTGTCTGCCTTGAGAAACCTGAGGAAAGTTTAGCTGTGTCGATGGCATCGGCGCCTCTTCAATGTGTACTGAACTCTTTGCGGTTGCAGACCGACTAAGATGTGATAGGTGCCCTAATTTTACGGAGGTCGTTGGACAAAGACACGTGTCAGAAAGGTACTATGAGGATTGGAGAAGTTTAAATGTGTCGGGCATTTCAAGAAAAGTAGCAACGCAAGTTCCTCGAAGCGTTCGTCACTTCGCGGTCCCGTAATCCATCGACCTACCGCAAAACAGGATGCCACATCACTGTGGTTTTTCCTTGAATTGATTACGTCGTCACGTGGGAGTGCTCCTGGGACGCCAACATCCACGCTGAGGGTGTCAGAGCGCCGAGTTCGTGATGGCGGTCAGTTACTAATACTGAGTGAAGTGGATTTGTATTGGTTCGGCGGGAAGAGAGTCCCAAACAACCGGTACAACTATGACAAAACATCCGAGCGATGAAATTTCGGATCGTGGACCCAGTCTGGTCAAGGCGAAGACGATCTGCAGCCTAGAGCTCAGACTCGAGGCTAGAGCTATAGGGGCTCAGGATTAGGGGCTGCGGTACCAGACCCATCCCCATTGCGATTGCCAGGGGGGGATGGCATCGTGAATAGTGAACTACACAGTGGCGCGGTCGCAGCCATTTCTCCATGGACCGAGCGCGAACACGCGGCATCCGCGTTGGAGACTGACACCACGGAGCTGTTTCCTGTTCAAAGCAGCTTGGGGCAGCATCTCAGCGCCCGTCGACGTCGTCCACAGCGGCGACGTCGCAACGACGACGGCGTCGGTTGATTCAGGCTATTCGTGTTCATCTTGGATCAGCTGGCTGGTAACTCCGAGTTCTGGCTCTGGGACAGCTCCAGCAAATGGCACTCTGAAAGAGGGATCTGTCTTGTGCGGGCGCTCTGCTTTTTCTGCAAACCATAAACCAAGCGATCTTAACACCTGCCAATTGGGGAAACGAAAACGGGGCTGTCTAAGCATGGTGTCTGAAGTCTAGCCTCCAGAGAATCGAATGGAAGCGACACTGTACGGTACATATCGATATGCTTGCTACTCCGCTAGGTTTTAGAATGCACCGTGGTGCTCGATGATCGAAGATTATGGCCGTGGGTATCGAACTAGTGTGAACAGCTGCGCGAGTAAACTGAGATTCACCTGTCTCCTGAACGGGAAACAGCCTCTGTTCTCGTTGTTAGGCGGCGGATGATTGATCAGCAGGTCGGGAGTTGGCGTGTTGTTAGGACCTAGCACGTTTAGCTCCTTAAAACACTCAGTCTCTATCATCTGAAACGGAAAAAAGACATTTTATGCCGGGCGAGCCTCTCGTTTGATAGAAGACAGTGCAGCGTTCATCGCAGCCCGGAGTCAATCTTCCACGATAAGCCCGAGCCAAAGCCGATCGGCCGGCCGGGATTCATGCTTCGAAAGCTCGAACGGGGATTCGGTGAAATAAAAGCGGCGATAGTGGTCCACTTGCCGGCTCTGACGCAAAAGAACACTTTGGCCGGACCATGTTCCCCGGTGTAAGTGGACGGAGCCGTTTTGGCGAGCGATATAAACGCCGACTGACGTGCTCTTTGAAGCCCGGTACATATAGACACCCGGAATCGTTAAACGGCTTACTTCGTTCTGCCAGGGGATGGACACGCTGCCGGTGTTGAATTTGCTGTAGAACGTGTCGTCCGTCGCGTCCAAATTGACACCTTTCACCGTCGAGAACTGCTCAATGTCCAGCACGTCCTTGGCGTATACCGCATGCGGCTGCAAGCAAAATCGGACGGCCATTATGGTCTCTGCTGGTCCGCAGGCTGAATAGCAACGGCTATTTTTTTTTAGATCCGGGTTTAAGATTTTGTTATTGCAGATTCTGATTGTTTTATTATTAAATTAACCTTCGCACGGCTCCGGCAACCGACCGTACGGCGGACTCGGGATCCAATCGGACCCATACGGGGAACATGCTTTAGTTTATTGCTCTCTGTTGAAAGGATTAATATATAATAATAATTATATATATTATTTATTATATATATATTATATATTATTTTTTATATTATTATATATTAATATATAATAAGGATTAATATATAATATTGCTGAAGGGATTAATTGATATGTTACCCGATAATGAATAAATAATGAATAAATGACTCTATGATATGAATTATTGTGAGGATGATAGAAGAATCGATTTCTACTGTTTGAACGATAAAGAATGTTGTACACTGTTTCAAAGATAAAAAATAGAATGGTTTCTGATGACCGTGAAAGATGTCTGGATGTACAGTGGCCCATAACAGTGTTCGTACACCCCTTAAAACGCAATAACTATTTTAAAACTGAACTAAATGACTTGAATTTTTTTTAGATGATGGACAGACTAGTCTACTAGACGATGACTGAAATGCTCTTTTTTTTTTAATTTTGCTATCACCTGGAATGACAAAAAAAAGATAAAAATCTCTCGTTTTTTAATTTTTTTATCTGAGCCCACAACGAAAATTTAAAAAATGTCTTTCTTAGATCTCGGTAATTTATATGCATGTTGAAAATTTTATCGTAATCGGTTCACGTTGTTATGAGTCACAACTTAAAGATCGCAAAAATCGCAGTTTTATCACGATTTTTAAAAAAATCCGCAGTTTTTAGGATACGATTTCGATCAAATTTTCAGCACGCATATAAGTTAACGGGATCTACAAAAGCATTTTTTTTAAGTTTTTGTTATAGGCTCAGATAAGAAAAAAGTAAAACAATGAGGGTTTTTAATTGTTCGTTTTCATTCCAAGTATTGGCAAAATTAAAGAAAAGCTTCCCAGCCACCGTCTAGTAGACTAGTCCTTCCATCACCTAAAAAACATTTAGTTCAGTTCTAAAAAAGTTATTGCGTTTTAAAAGGTGTACGAACACTTTTGTTGGTCACGGTATGTCTTAAATTTTAGGGGCGTGATCGCGACGGACGAGTTGGAACTGGAAATGATAGAAGTTTTAAGGAGAGAATTCGAGAAGGTGGTAGGCTGTGTTCGCAAATGGTAAAAATGTTTATAAAAACTAATATTAAAACGAATGTTTTGGTTAATCTCTAGAATTTAAACTTCACATCTAGGATTCAAACTTTAGGTCGTTGGACACTCTGAGTCATTAACGCGCCCCATACTCTTTCAATGGGGATTCATGACTCGGCGTGGTCTCTGAACTCGGCTAAAAACTCAAGTTCGTGTCCAAACGATAACCGTGGATCTGACTTGGACCCCGAGTTCGGCCGGCGAGGGTTAAATGCGTTTCGAAATACAGTAATGTCTCCCTAATTGACGCTCAGATTGTACACAAACATGGACAACTTTGGAAGAGAAGATATGATTGATCGAGCCTCGTGGCTCGTTTGTTATGGCTATCGATTGTCAACAACTATAAAAACGAGCTGCAAGGCTCGAATAATCGTATCTCCTCCTTCCAAATAGTCCATTTTTGTGCACAATCCGAGCGTCAATTAGGGAGACATTACTGTGGTGGTAGAACGGCAATAGAATCGATTTGAATGACACCTACTCACATCCGGGACAAACGGCGGTTCCCACATACCGGCCTCGACCCTCTTCCAGTTCAAGCACTGGAAGAAGCTGTGAAGCTTGACTTCCTTGGCGCCGTGTCTGCCGCACTTGCAGCCGAGCCTGTTCTTCGGGCTCTTCTTCAACAGTTGCTGGCACAGGCTCTTCGCCTCCTCGGTGAACTTCGGCGAGTACCTTTCCTGATCCTCCTTCACTCTCCGATCGACCTCCTCCCTCTTGACTTTCTCCTTCCGGGCGCGGAACGGCGCCTGGCCTTCTATCATCTCGTACAAAAGACAACCGAAGCTGAACCAATCTGGCGAAAAGGTGTACTTCTCATTGTCGATCACTTCCGGCGCCATGTAGCCTACCGTGCCGACCCGGCCCCTCACCATGTCTTCCTCGGTGATCTCGACCGCGAGACCGAGGTCCGAGATCCTGACGTGCCCGTGATCGTCCAGCAGTATGTTCTCCGGCTTGCAGTCCCTGTAGACGATCCCCTGCAGGTGCAGGTGCTCCAGACCGCAGACTACTTCCGCCGCGTAAAACCTGGCACGGTTTATATCGAAACCCGGCTCACCGCCCATGTTGTAAATGTGGAACTTTAGGTCGCCGCCGTTCATGATCGTCAGCACCAGGCACAGAGCGTCCTTCGTCTCGTAAGCGTACGCCAGCGAGACAACGAACTTCGAGTTGATCTTCTGCAGGATGTTCTTCTCGATCAGGACCATCGCCTCGCCCTTCCGTTTCTTGATTCGCTTCTTCTCCAGCTTCTTGCAAGCGTACATCTTGCCCGTAGCCCGCACCTGGCACGCGCACACCTCGCCGAAACCACCCTTCCCCAGCACCCTGTACATCCGGAAGGTCTTGTACGTCACCGGTTGCGCCTCCAGCCATTTCCATTGAAGATACCTGGAAAGCACATCGGAGAAGCTCTAACGTTTTCGAGTCTGGTACCTTTTCGCGGAACGCACGGCGATCTCGGTAGCGATTTTTTGCGGTGAAACCTCGGATTTTGGGGGGACGACCTTCGCGAAATACGGCGATACCGGCGAAGATTTTGTAACTTTTGACTCGTTTCTCTTTTCGGGGGTCTTAACGAGTTGAAAATAATACGTTTTCTCGACACAGTATCTGCCGGCGGTGATTTTAGAATTTACGGAAGTCTACGGTCGAAAACTTTGCGACACGTTAAGCGCAGTCGAGAAGTTCGCACGATATCAAGGTCATTTAATTAATGGAACCGACACTAGAAAGTGAACATTTTCCATAGGAAATATTAGTTCAGCTATTTTGTATTCTACGAATCCTAGTAACATTCAATTTGTTCAATACATTACGATAGAAATGAATTTCAAAAGCTTAGTTGCAAATTAGTGACACACGTGGGGCACTGAACGTGTTAACTCTCTGGGGCACGGTGGGATTAAAAATGTCCCATCTTTTTGATACACGATAAAAACCACGGTAAAAATGCACCTCGAAATATTGCAACAGCTGCATGCGCATTCATGAACCCATTCTTGCCACGGTGGGACTATTTGTGTCCCACCCTGTAACAACAAATTGAACTGAATTATTATTACTTTTTTTTACGTTTTTTTATTATGCGATTCCTTTGTTAATAAAAAGTTAAAGAGTCGTTCGATGGAACTGACAATTACAGTCGCGTACCAACAAAAGCCACCCCCAGCGATATAATTTAACAATTGCCAGGATAATTACCGTTAAAATCTTCTAAGCTTTCTACTGTTGCAAATTGCATCAACTGATTCGTGTGAGAAATTCGAGAAGAATTCACCAATAACGGATTTCACTGCAAGGATATGAAATTCAGGACGGCGAAATTATTTTATAAAAATAGGCAAAAGGCAAAACTTGTACAGCTCGCTTTCTGGAGAACAATTTCTACCATTGAACGAGAACCCTGCGGTGCGCGGGATCAGCATTTGCCACGAGATACTAAAATCCTAACTGAACTAAAACGTAGCCGGTGCACGTGCATCTTCGCGCGTTCAAGTACGAACATCGCCGAGGGTTCGAACACTTTATCGGCCGATGAACATTCCGAACATCGCGGAGTTACGCGAACGGGGGATACAAACGCGATTTTACGTTCCAAGGAAACATTTCGAGGGGGGGAAAAGAAAAAAGAAGCGTGGAGAGAAAGAGAGGCGCGAGGAAAGTATCGCGATAATGTAAGCACGGCGGAATGTTGACGACGGAAAAATGACTTTTTAATCACGTTGTCGAGGAAGAGACGCCGTCGCCGCGCGTCAGGTGCGCTAAGCGCGGCATAACACAGGAGAATTTCGAGTTGAAAGCTTTCGAGAGGTATCAGACGCGGCGATAAGGAATGAATGATGTCTTTAATGACCGGGGAAGATACGAGAGAGTAGGGGGTGGGAGAAGGCTATCAGGACTCGGGGATTACCTATAGAAATAGAAGCTAGTTTGGAAAGCTGAAAAAGGCTCTCCCGCCAGGAAGTTCTTCACGGTCTGTGCGATCTCGACAAAGAGCTCCTTCCCACCGGTGCCGAGTCTTTCCTCGCACTGAGCTATCAACGAGTCGTTCAGGATGTCGACGACCTCCGAGCCCTCTCTCTTCAGGTACTGCTCAAACAGGTCCTTCGCCAGCTCGGTGCGATTCTCGTCCATCTCGATCTCGTACTTCTCGATCGCGTCCAGAAAGAGATTGTACCGATGGTAGGCCGGCTTCTTGTCCTGGCAGAACTGCCTGAACAACAGGCGGCCGATCGGCTGCTGGTCCACGACATAGCTGTACCTAATGTCTACGGAGAGACAGACAATTGACCTCGTCAATACGGAACATCGGTGCTTGTCGTAAATACGCGCGGTTATTCCGGCACTGAATCGATTTTCGGACCGTTTGAACCGTTTAGAGGATGCTTTGGGGGTTGGCGAGTTTACGAGCCGCGTTTAGCAAAGTGATTAACGTTGCACAAGGGCTAATTTCTTCACGAGTCTACGGACTTCTCGAATACGTACTTCTTCGAATTTGTAGCAGATTTGGACGTAAATAATAAACATTGTTCAATCATGCTCGGAGACGATCTAATGCTACGAATGCAATTATCGAAGTGCTTAAAGCGGCAAGAAGCTGCTGTAGTGCGTTATGTTGCGTACATTGCGGAGTAACGTTCGTAAGAGAGTATATTTCGATGTCATCTTTAACGCGACAAGCTGAAGAAATCATTTGTGCAACCAGTTTACCATTAAAATATAAGTCGTAAAGGATAAATTTTGCACGCAAGCGATTTTTTGTTTAAGTCCTGTGCTTCCCTCTTCAATACGTTCAAATCGTTGTCATATCATCTGATCTTTCGTCGAAAGATCTGCTTTAATAAGATATAATATACCTTCCTATAATTTGATTAGAATCCGCAAAATGTAAGTTGAAAAAGTGTAATTGGTGTAATATAATTTGACCTTCCAATTTTAATTCGATTAAATAAAATATTTGAATTTTATGAAATTTTTCAGGTTGTGCGACGGCGGTCGAAGTATTACAGTAAGGTCAAAAGTCGATCGAAAAATTGGCCCCGGTTTTATCCACTTTTAAAACGTGTAATAGTTATATCCAAACATCGGAAGTCGATCGTAATTCACGAATTTTTCGATTTTTCGTGACGGATCCGAATTTAGCAATTTCAGAATCGCGAGAGAAAATCGATTTTTATAAAAATCGTACAAAGTCGTGAATTCTGACCAACTATTTTGTGAAAAATTACCAATCTGCGTGTGTCGCGTCTGCGTATTTAAACAACTCGTCTGCTTGTGTTTTACCAAAAAAGGTAAACCTTCGTCGAGCTGCCGATTAGTAGAGTGAATGAGTATCGAATGCGAGAGCGAATCGTTAAAATGAACGAATCCCCGAGCTTTCTGTCTCGGTGATCCGATCGAAAGTGTCGCCGAACACCGACACGATTCGACACCGTCGGGAAACCAGCGGGATACCGTTGGAATTCGCGGAACGAATTTCAATCGGATCAGCGAGCAGGCGAAATTTCAAAGCAAATTCTCAATAATCGTGGAATCACGGACATAGTTTCTTCGCGGATCCGCTCTGGTCCGCTCGGCTCGGCTCGACGGCAATGCGCCACGGGAATATTCCACGGCGATTCAATTAATCCCGCCATCTCCAAATCCCACGGTTCCCGGCGAGCACCGCGATATTTCGCAACGGAGTAGCTGTGGGAATCGCGAAGACATTAACGCGACGCGTAATTACAGGGGTGAATGAATCACGAGGAGCGGTGTAATTGCGACTTTGCTGCGACCCGAGCTGGAATCGGTATCGCACTGTCAAATGTGCATTGCTGCTTGAAGCGAACGAAACATGTATTGGAAGCGACATTTGATCGTCGGGAATTAACAGAAATTAGAACGAAGTGTTTCTAATATTCATTGGCAATCATAAAGAGACAATAAATTTTAATTTCAATTATATTAAAAATGACTAGGTGAAATACCGAGCAACGACGATACTAGAGAAGCGAAGAATGTGCCTACATTCTCCTCAATTCATCGAAATCATTGCTGTTAAATGTGCTCTGCTGCCCGAAGCGAACGAAACATGTATTGGAAGCGACATTTGATCGTCGGGAATAAACAGAAATTAGAACGAACTGTTCCTAATATACATTGGCGATCATAAAGAGACGATAAATTTTAATTTCAATTATATTAAAAATGACTAGGTGAAATGCCAAGCAACGACGATATTAGAAGAAGCGAAGAATGTGCCTACATTCTCCTGAATTCATCGAAATCATTGCTGTTAAATGTGCACTGTTGCCTGAAGCGAACGAAATATGTATTGGAAGCGACATTTGATCGTCGGGAATAAACAGAAATTAGAACGAAGTGTTTCTAATATTCAATGGCAATCATAAAGAGACGATAAATTTTAATTTCAATTATATTAAAAATGACTAGGTGAAATACCGAGCAACGACGATACTAGAGAAGCGAAGAATGTGCCTACATTCTCCTCAATTCATCGAAATCATTGTTGTTAAATGGGCACTGCTGCCTGAAACGAACGAAATATGTATTGGAAGCGACATTTGATCGTCGGGAATGAACAGAAATTAGAACGAAGTGTTTCTAACATACATTGGCGATCATAAAGAGACGATGAATTTAATTTCAATTATATTAAAAATGACTAAGTGAAATACCGAGCAACGACGATACTAAAAGAAGCGAAGAATGTGCCTACATTCTCCTGAATTCATTGAAATCATTGCTGTTAAATGGGCACTGCTGCCTGAAACGAACGAAACATGTATTGGAAGCGACATTTGATCGTCGGGAATTAACAGAAATTAGAACGAAGTGTTTCTAATATTCATTGGCAATCATAAAGAGACAATAAATTTTAATTTCAATTATATTAAAAATGACTAGGTGAAATGCCGAGCAACGACGATATTAGAAGAAGCGAAGAATGTGCCTACATTCTCCTCAATTCATCGAAATCATTGTTGTTAAATGGGCACTGCTGCCTGAAACGAACGAAATATGTATTGGAAGCGACATTTGATCGTCGGGAATAAACAGAAATTAGAACGAACTGTTCCTAATATACATTGGCGATTATAAAATGACGGTGAATTTTAATTTCAGTTATACTAAAAATGATTAGGTGAAATATCAGGCAACAACGATACCAGAAGAAACAAGGAATGTTCCTATATTCTCCTCAATTCATTGAAATCATCGAAAGAATAAATACATTGTTATTTAATCACAGTGCTTTACGATTGATTCGGGCGAACTTCATTTTGCATAAAGATCCGCGGTCTATTCTCGCAACATAAGAATTGACTAATCTCTTGAAAAATGTGCTGCGCTGTTGTTTCTGGTCTAGCAAATCTTAATCCTTAATTTGTGATAATTAGAGTGCGGATCTTTACGCAAAATGAAAATTGTCTTCGTTAATTGCGTAATATAGGAACTTCATAGACATTTATTCATTCTGTTAATAATTTTAGTCGACGGCAATGCAATGATATTTTTAAATTATTTATACGATTTTGTTGTTTTGCATTCGATTTACTCATTTGTACCATAAACGCGTAAAGTCCGCAGTCTAGTGATAACCAATACGGACACGGAGTCTGTCAGGCTCTGGTTAAAATATATTGTTTATAAAATGAATACGATATTAATTTGTACATAAAAATTAAATGTAACACGTATTGCATATTTTTATTGCGAAATATTTCATAGTTGTACGTAGAAAACGTAAGACTTGGATAAAAAAGAAAGCGCATTAATAAGCAATAATTCGTGTCTTTAATCTTTTATCGACTATTTACTTTTAATCAGCTGACATTAAGATGGACTATTCGGTTTTCAATTTACTCAATTCTGGCAGAAAGTATACAGGGTGGGGCATTTGAAACGAGACACCTGAATAACTCACTCGTTCTCGACAATAGAAAAAAGTAGTATCTGACAAAAGTTGTTTGATTTCGAGGGGCACATAATATGATGTCGATAATTTGTTTATAGGTGGAGGCGTAGAGGACATATGAATTAGATTTTTTATTTATTTGTCGTTGTAGTTCATATGTCGTGACTTTGAATAACCTTCATTTGCAGGTCATTGTATTCGTCTTGAAAGGCATTGTCAAAATATGAATAAAAAATTAGGTCAATCCACTAAAAAAAGCCAAGTTCGACCTTTGTATGTCCCCTACGCTTCTACCTATACAAAAATTATTGACATCATGTAACGTGGCCCACAAAATCAAACAACTTTTGTCTGACGCTTCTCTTTCTATTGTCAAAAACAAGCGAGTCATTCAGTTATGTCTCGCTACAAATGCCCCACCCTTATAGTAAACCGTGCAGTTTCCAATTTCTAACCGCACGGATTCCAGGAGAACCTTAGTTAAATGAATATATTTGATCGACAGAAAACGACGGAGCCGAAAAAATTCAGGCACGAGTACATAATTACGTTTCCATCCTATTTCTCACTCCACGCCGATGGCAGTTGGTAATTTCTTCGCTCCCCTAAAACCATAAGCGGCTTTGAATGGAGTAAGTCGAAAGCTGTCTGTTGCAGGGTCATTAAAGGAACGACATGCGGCATAAAACTCGGCTCAAATTATTGTATTCGAAGGGTCGCGTTAACGTCGTAGCTCTCGCGTATATTAAAAACGGATTAAGAAGCGTGCCGCGAGAAAATGTACACGCTCGGTGGAAATTGTACCGTATATAAAGTTGCCTGGAAGAATCCTGCCGCAGCCGCAGTACGCAACAGTGAAATAATCGATTATACATATACGTCGGCTCCGACTAATTTCCATGTGAATGCGGTGGCGGTTTCCGCCGCGGGCGTTGTCGAGGTTCCGTTCGTAAATACGGTTGCGGTTCCGTTTGTAAATGCGGTTACAATTTGGATTGTGCGCGCGAGATCGTATATTCAGTTGCGAGTGCGGTTGGTGATTCAGTTGTAAACACCGCTGCGGCTCGATCATGAGTCTGACTGGGGTTTCTCGATCATAAACTGTTGTGTGCATCGGCGACGGCTCCGCGGATTTCCTTCGAACTTCGGACGTCATTCCGTAACAATTTATCGATTTGATTAAGCGTTCGCTCGGTCGATCGTTCAATGTAGAGTAAAAACGCCTGATACGAGGCTGATTTGTTTAAAAATCGTAATTTTCGATTAGCACTTAGCCGACCGATCGGGTAAATCTACCCATTTCCAAGCTAGTCGATAGCCGACCGATCGGGTAGATCTACCATTTTG